TGTACAGCAGCTTTTAAAGAACATTACAGTTGTCACAAAATCTATGTACTGTACTTATACATCTCTTAGAATGTGTGGCGCTTAACATTAATAAAAGGTAGGAAATGGTACAAATGTATCACTTGCATTCAACTGTATAGTAAATACACTTAAATACATAACTTGTCTAGACAAAACTATCTTACACTAAAGAGTCCACAAACCTCATTCACAACAGATGCATGGGATTATTACCTTCAGTCATAAAACAGACAGCTCATATCATTTTCCAGAATTGCACTGGAGGTTATTTTCAATCTCCAGTAGGCGTTGTCCTATTATCACAGCTAGAGATTTTATCTGAAAGGTACATTAGAGTATAAGAGGTCAGACAGTAACATTTTATAATGTGTCATTTTGTTTATATATATATATGTGTGTGTGTGTGTGTGTGTGTGTGTGTGTGTGTGTGCATTACAAAATTGCAATTATGTTTTCTAATTATATATATATATATATATATATATATATGTATATACATATATAAAATGATTAAAAAAACTAATTGCCAGAACACAAAGCACAAATAAATAATATCTGGAAAATTATTAATTCACAGGATTCACCCACAGGAATCCTCTTGTAAATCTTGTCAGAAGTTCTATTTTATTTATTTGACAAGCACACAGACAAGGAATATGAAATTAAAACATTAACAATCACAAACAGACATAACTGTCAACACCCTTTTCTAGATCAAATTCTTCAACAGATCTCTATTGTTTGCTGGACTCAGTGACCAAACAAAGAGCTCTGGAAGCACCGCAAGAGCGCCATCTGCTGTTTACTTGTGCGTGTTAAAAACACACAAAAAAGCACAGATGACCTTTTTCAACAGCTTTAATTCCATTTTCTTCACCTACCAGTATCTCACCTATACTGGAACATGTTTTTTGTTGTTTTAGAATTCATTTCTTTTAGGAAAAATTCAAATTAAAACAATGAAAAATTAAGGTTCTATTTTTTTAAGTTCAAATAATTTCCCCTCATAAAGTTTGATATCAAATATTCTTTTTGTCATATTCTCTACACATTCAATATTGCCATTAATCTATGCATTTGTAGTGCAAAAGAAATGGTTTATTTTTAAACGGAGAGAGACTTACATCGGTTTGCATCATGCTCGTAAATCAATCATTTAAACAGTCTCTAGAAGGGCTACTTTACCTCTGTCATCTGCTGTTCCACAATGTTCTGGTACTCCAGGGTCACTGCTTTGTCTTCTCCATCTAATTCTGGCACCCGCTGGCCTGGACCGCCGACTATATAACTACAGAAAGACACAACCTTGTCCTCAGTGTGATACATAAAAGTGAATGTGATTATAAAAAAGACTAACGATGAACATTGCACAGGCTTGTGCACAATAGGCTACTTACCTTTCAATATTTTCAACATTAAAGCAGAAAAGAGATCTCTTGTAATCAAGATTTTTTGGGGTTGATATGTACATGATTCCTAATTCTGAGCAACAGCCACGGCAGGTGAGATTCACAACCAGACTGAATGTGAGAGACAAATTTTCAGAGACATTGATTTCATGTTTAGGTGGAAACACGCATGTATGATTCTACACACATGTATAAATAAATAAAACATATCCCACCATCCAAGCTCCTTTCGGGTACCAGAAACAAAGGGCTCTTTACCTATGACAACATTGTCAGAGATCCCTAAAAAAAGGTTAAACAATATTTTTTATGTTTAAACTGTTGTTACCCACAGTTGTATTATGCTATTTTAACAAATGCATGCAAAGCCAAAACTAAAATCACAATATTTCGAAATGCACGAGTCAACAGATAGTAAACACTACCATTCAAAAGTTTGTTTATGAAAAAGTCTGTTATATTCACCTAGCACTTACTTGATCAAAAATACACTAAAAATAGTAATAGTATTAAATATTTTTAAGGTTTAAAATATTGTTTTGTACTTTAATCTCTTAAAA